CTGCTTTGATCTTTAGGTACTATAACATTCATTCACAATATCAGCCTTTATAAATCAGCTATGAAGTAGTACGTTTGAAATGCTGATGCCAAATCAAATAAGAGACGTAATATATAATCAGCAATATTTCTATTCCAAAAGAACAAGGCAGTAAAAAGAGAACACTGCTCTGTTAATCATGCGCTGAAATGTATCTTATATGGAGGACATCCATAGAAGATACAGCCTTTTACATGTTGAGCAGCCCAACCAAACACTGGTTATCCTTGTGTTGCAAACAGCATTTTTTTCATTTCCTAGATCTGTGAAGAATTTTGTTCCAAATATATTTTCTTAATTACATTACCAACACAGCAAAGAAGTTATATGTGATATGCATTGCTATCATACCCTTACAGTTTTTGTTGTTGTTCATTCGTTCAGTTGTTTCTGACTATTCGTGACCTCATGGACCAGCCCACGCCAGAGCTCCCTGTTGGCCGTCACCACCCCCAGCTCCTTCAAGGTCAAGCCAGTCACTTCAAGGATGCCATCCATCCATCTTGCCCTTGGTTGGTCCCTCTTCCTTTTTCCTTCCATTTTCTCCATTATCATTGTCTTCTCCAAACTTTCCTTTCTTCTCATGATGTACTTCATCTTTGCCTCTACTATACTTTAAACTTTTCTGAACTTTGAAAAAAGTGCAACATATCCCATCAACACCTGTATTTTGAAATCAGTTTGAAAGTTGTAGACACTTCTCAAAAAGACACCAACAAGCACTACAGCAGTGGTTCTCAACCTTTTTTTTGACCAGGGACTACTTGACCAAGGACCACTCGACCAGGGACCACTTGGACTAGGGACCACTCTCCAACATTAGTACCAAAACGGTTACAAATCAGTTTTTGGTCAACTTTAGATTCAGTTTGGTTATTTGGGGTGCTGATTCACACGTCTCTCAGAGAATGACAAAAAACCCTCCTTTCGTTCCAACTGCTACTGCCCTAACCTCAGAGATAGAAGAAATAGTTTCTACTGGACTTAATCCCCTTTCCTACTCCAATCCCTTTCATTGCTGGTCATCTCTCTAGTTGGGAAGACTTCACTACCTCTGAGGATGCTTGCCATAGATGCAGGCGAAACGTCAGAAGAAAATGCCTCTAGAACATGGCCATATAGCCCGAGAAAACCTACAACAACCCAGTGATTCCAGCCATGAAAGCCTTTGACAATACACAGGCTGGGAACTGTTTTTTCTTGTAAAGCACCATGTATAGTGTTGGTGCTACATAAAAATAGTATGATAGTATGATAATATTTATGATGACAACAACTCCCTTAAAATATCTTTTTAGAAAAAGAATCTAGTTATGGGTTCTGTTTTTCATAACTGAATATCAAAGAAACTTTCATTTTAATTATTCATTTTTATAGTGAGTATATCTATGTAGGCTTTTTATTAACCATTCCCCTAAAACACTTGGCAGAATTGCTATGGGAGTTAGAGCTGTACGGTCATACAAACAGGAAGACCCTAAAAACTGAAACAGATTTGTCAAATAAAAAGTCCAAAAGTAATAGCAGCACTTACATTTTTAGAGGATTTTGGATTAGCAATGACTTCACCCAATTTCAATGAGCGGTAATTTATTATGAAAAAGCCATGTTATCACTCCACGAATGTCAGTAGTGAAGTTCAGGAGGCCCTGAGAACTGGTCCAAGAACCATAAAATGTCTTTTAAAAAACCAAGCTGGCCAAAGTCCAATTTGCATGTTATGTAGCTTTGGCCAAAGTACTGGAAAAAACTGGTTGCTAAGCCAGCTACAGTAGTATGAATCATGTATGAAAGCAACTTGTCGGCACTGAAGATTATAACAATATTGATTAAATTTGTGAAGCATCCATCAAAATCCATAATAAATTATTGTTAAAAAATCTAATATAAGAGAACGAGTTAATTCAGCAGGCCCCCAATTCTTTTCACCTCTTGTCGATTGTTACCTTTAAGAATAACCCCCCTTTTCTGTTCAAATTAATTATTAAGCTACAACAGCACTGAAAAAGAAAACAATCTATTTGCTGTTTTCAATTACCACTAATGGATGTATTCATTTTAATGAGCTCATTAAAAGAGGAGCCATAATTAAATATGTTCTCATCATTAATTATTGCGGTATGAGACTGAACAAAGTTTAAGTACCAGAACAGTCTTTGTTCTATTTGACAATTAAAAAGAAATCCCCAGCATGCTCACATTAAAAGCTTGTTCCTAAATGGCTTAGGTCAAACATTTTATCTTTTGTAATTTATTTTTAAGCAGAATAATTGTTTATGAAACTCAACTACATCACAAAATCATTGTGGGAAACTAAGACACCCTCCTTTGGTCCCATTCTTTCCCAAATATTTGCTGAAATGGTTGCTATGCCCTCATTATCCATTGTCTCTACCATATAACCAACCTAACCCACTTCCTTCAACTCCATTTTGTTTGTTCTCAGTATCACCCTAAAAAACCTCTGAACACATATCCTCATCTGCTCAATTTGAATTCCACTCTATTTTTTTTTCCAGTGGTCTATCCTGCTTTTCTTAACTTTTCCCTTAATTGGCTTGAATCTCACTTCTCTGTCATTATGAAAACTTTCTTCAGTCCTCTTGGAGCTCTTTGCTGTCTCATGCTTTCTTTGCTGCAATATACTCTTCAGGTGCATTGACATGAATGAACTCTATTCTAGATGCAATTGCAACACGGATTTATATGAAGGCAGTTTGATAATGGTCAGATTTATACTCAATTCTCTTTCTAATTATGCATACATAGAATTATCCATTTTTAATTCAGTAACTTACAAAATCATCACTTTTCTGAAGCCATTTAACACAGTGGTTTCCAACCTTATTTTGACCAGGGACCACTTTGAACAGGGGCCACTCTCCAACATTAGTACCAAAAGAATTATGAATCAGTTTTTGGTCAACTTTATATTTAGTTTGGTTATTTGAGGTCCGGATTCAGAAAATTGCATTGGATAGATCACATCAGCTCTCATTTCTGATACAGAATGTATCTCATCCAGTAGTCGCCATCTGCTCACCTACAGAAAACCATTTTTAATAGTCTAGAGCTGATGTGGTAGTAGTAATCATTCGTGGGTAGTCAGCCTCTCCCCTACTGACATCCCCGTTGCCTAGGTACAATAAGAGGGTTTCACAAGACCAGTCGCTCTCGTTGCTGTGTGGTTTCGAGCCAATGGTGTAGTAATGGTGAGGCCGCGGACCATATTTTCATTCTTGCGAACCACTGGTGGTCCATGGACCACAGATTGTGAACCACTGATTTAACATAATGTTGTGACACAGCTGGAATCAGAGTGTTTCTGATGAGGATGATGGGACTCAGGTTCACAGTTTGGTTTAAGATATCCCTGCTATAGACAGTAAAGAAGAAGTGCAATTTCCCACAGCAAGGTATGAGAGCGGGGAAACTGAAGATAACAGCCAGGTGTAGATTGACTCCGAAAGAGAGGATAGCTCTTTGCCTAGTTCTCAGCCTGATAATGAGCGAGCAGGAAAACAGGCTGCTAACGAGCAGATTGACCTTGATGATACAGGAACTTTAGATAGGGCCGCCCGATTGGAATTCCGTGTTCGAAGGAGTATTTATTTGTCATGTCAGAGCAGCCAGTCCATTATATTACATTTCTAACAGAACAAAGCAAACAAACAGAAAAAATACACAACTTGTGAGTTTGGTAGTTGGTTAAATGTCCTTTGACCAGTATCTGGCCACTTGGAGTGCTTCCGGTGTTGCTGCAAGAAGGTCCTCCATTGTGCATGTGGCAGGGCTCAGGTTGCATTGCAGCAGGTGGTCTGTGGTTTGCTCTTCTCCACACTCGCATGTTGTGGATTCCACTTTGTAGCCCCATTTCTTGAGGTTGGCTCTGCATATTGTGATGCCAGAGTGCAGTCTGTTCAGCGTCCTTCCAAGTCGCCCAGTTTTCTGTGTGCCCAGGGGGAGTCTCTCATTTGGTATCAGCCATTGGTTGAGGTTCTGGGTTTGAGCCTGCCACTTTTGGACTCTCGCTTGCTGAGGTGTTCCGGTGAGTGTCTCTGTAGATCTTAGAAAACTATGTCTAGATTTAAGTCGTTGACGTGCTGGCTGATACCCAAACAAGGGATGAGCTGGAGATGTCTCTGCCTTGGTCCTTTCACTATTGGCTGCTACTTCCCAGCGGATGTCAGGTGGTGCAATACCGGCTAAGCAGTGTAATTTCTCCTTCGAAGGAGTGAAAGAATAGCTAACAAGAGGGAGGTCAGAGGCCAAAGAAACACCTTCATGTTTTGCAAAGAGTATTAAATAGGGGGTTTGAGACCACATCTCTGTCAAAGCAACTTTTTCGTTTACCAAAAGAGTTTGCCTAAGCTAGGCTGGATTTACCTTGCAGTCTTTGTGTTCATGGTTCCAAGACTTTGTCATGTTCTCTTGGGTCTTGCCTTGCTGATGCCTATTGGATTATGCTTCAAGTACTATGTTGTCTTGATCTTTGAAAGCATTACCTTTGCTTTTAAGAACTTTTTACCTTTTACTTTTAATAAACCATAAAGACTACAGACTGTGTGCTGCTTGGTGTTTTAAGCAAGGTGATTCTACTCTGAGGTGCAACACATAACCTCAAGAACGCTTTCTTGTTCAGTCACTGCCAACTCAAATCCTATCAGTGTATTATGTGAAGAAGTTGTGGTCATTTTACCCAGTTTGCAATCAATCTAGACTTTCCCCCACACTGAATCTAATTTATTATCTTAGTGCCCATTCTCCTACTCTGGAAATCCATTTCTATTCTCAACACTTTATACAATTTAGTACAACCAGGAAACTTGCCCATCTCACTAATTTCAGGTTATATATGAATAAATTAAAAGCACTGTATCCAATACCTCAAGGAAACTTCCATCCATTTATTCCTGCTTTCTACTTTCTGTTGATGACATGAGGCAGAAAGCACAACTTACCTGCAGCAACGTTCCATGAATTGCATTCTGTCGTATACAAAGATCAGAGTAATCTGGAAGTTCAGTCAACAAGGTTGTCACTGTCTGTGGCACCATATTTCTCATAATAAAGGGAACAAGGGCCCGGGCAGCCAATTCACGTGAGCGGTATATTGGAGAGTTGCCACACCTGAAGGTGAGATGGAAAAGCAGTAATTTACACTAATTTAAATATGGGAAAACTGTTGCAGTCTTTATAAACATACATGTTGCACATCTATGGTATGATTTCTCCAGGAAGCACAATTTTCTCCTAAAGCAAGCATGTGGCATTCCTTAATACAAGATATGTTTTAAAGTATCAGAACTTCTGGTCACTTTCAGTTGAGCAGAGAATGGATGAACGCATTTTGGTTAGGAATGTAGCCCCACAAGTTGTCCTGGGGATAAAACTGGCCCCAGATTCTTGAAAGTACCCCATCCTTGTTTTAACTCAGTGGTTTCCAACCTTTTTCTGACCAGGGACCACTCTGACCAGGGACCACTCTGACCAGGGACCACTCTGACCAGGGACCACTCTCTAACATTAGTATCAAAAGGGTTACAAATCAGTTTTAAGTCAACTTAGATTCAATTTGGTTATTTGGGGTGATGTTTCAGAAAATTGCATTGGATAAACCACATCAGCTCAAGTTTCTGATACAAAACATATGTCCTCCAGTAGTCGCTATCTGCTCGCCCACAGAAAACCATATTTAATACTCCAGAGCTGATGTGGTAGCAGTAATCTTTTGTGGGTAGTCAGCTTCTCCCTCCCGACATCCCCACTGCCTCAGCACTATAAGAAGGTTTCGCGAGACCAGTTGCTCTCGTTGCCACATGGTTTCAAGGCAACGGTGTAGTAATGATGACGCTACAGACCATATTTTCATTATAGTGGACCACTGGTGGTCCATGGACCACAGGTTGGGAACCACTATTTTAACTGATTGGAGTCCCCTTGTGAAGCATAGTCTTAGTCTTTATTTGATTTAATTACTGTATTTCAAAATTAATATCTAGTCAATACAGAGCCTATGGTACAGTATAATATGGCGTAAGTATAAGTTAGGCCCATTTTAAATAGCAACTCTTAAGCAGCAGTAGCTACATTTATCCAACATCTACCAATCTCTATGGGTGCTGGTTAACAGAGGGCCCGTCCAGACAGGGCCTTTATTGTGGGAACTCCTGCAATAAAGGAGGGGCTGTCCAGACAACGTTCTGGACAGTCCCACATTAATTCGCTACAAACCAGGAATACCCTCAGAAGACACAGGATAAATGCACTATTTACGGGTCTGGACTGCACAATACTGCAGTCCAAACAGTATTTCCACAGTTTCCCAGCCTGAATKCCCCCAGTTTCCCTCCTGCAAGCCCCTAGATCCCTTAGAAAACTAAGAAAACTTACGTGCCCTCCATTAGAAGCCCCAGAGAGCTCTCCCGGCACATAGAAATGATGCACCAGTAGAGCGGGGGGGGGGGAGGAAAATCGCTCCCCCTGCTCTCCTGATGTGTCATTTCTACGCACCAGGAGAGCTCGCCAGGGCTTCTAATGGAGGGCATGTAAGTTTTTCATAGTTTTCTAAGGGGTCTGGGGGCTTGGGGKGAGGGCCTCCACACGTTCTCTTGGGCTAGTCCACGTGCTTTCTGCGGTGAGTATGGACAGGCCCTCAGAAACATCCGCATTAAAAAAAGGTGGATGCTTCTGGAACAAGGACCTGTCTGGATTCAGCCTGAGAGTCTACTAGATTAGGATATCTAACTTAACATATTGATGTAATCCTCCTAAATACTTTATCCCAACTGATTTATTTATATATAGATGCAAAGACCGTTATAGCTTTTCCACAGAGGTAAGAAAATAAGGAGTTTAGTAGTTCGAAGAATCTAAATAAAGGAGAACACTTTACCACAACATAATGCAAAATAATTTGTCGCAAATGCTCCCATGTTTGTGCTACATCATGTTTTATTGAAACTGAGAAAATTCTTGGGTTTAAGTGTTTCTTTTCAAATGCAATTAACTGTGACACAGTTGCAGATGTTTAGTTTCTAATTAGCAGTAACTGTACACTCCAGAATGCCCCTCTTTCTGTTCACAACCTTTTACAAATGATGGTTTCCCAAAGGAATTTGGCTGTAGTTCAGGAGAAAGAATGGAAAATTGGAACCTTGCCAATGTTTCTCACTGCCAATCTTTTTTTAAAGGTACTTTCCAAAAACATGATTCAGGGGGCTTTTTCAAATCCCAACTCCGAAACTGCATTCCATTTGATTTAATTACATTAGTTCCATTTTAGTAACATAATCAAATACAGATTACAAGTCAAGTGGCTTGATTTATTGAAGATAATTTTAAACAGAAGCATAAGTATTTAGAAGCTCATAATTGTTTATTACATAATGGCAAATAACACATGTTCATGTGTATGAGCTCACTTTAATGTATTAAGACCAAACTAGAATTATTCCAAATGAAGTGCTTTATATTAAAAACACCAGGGATATGGAGAAGAGGGCTTCACTGTTACCATATAATACTTCTTTTCAAATATCAAGTTTAGAAAACGTCAGTTACAAAAAATGGTGTCTTCATTATTTCTTTTTTCTTTTCCAATGGAGACCTGGTTTGAGAGACAGCACTAATTTAATTTAGCAATAGACTAATTTCAATAACTGAATGATCAACGGAAATGTTTTATTTCTTTAGTTTCTTTTTCTTTCAGAAAATTTAAACATGACTTGGCAAAAATCTGCTGCCTCATACTGCGGTAAGATTTTAATTTGAACAGGAGAAATTGCCATGCCAGGTATAGAGATCTTCTCCTGTAATCCTAGAGCAGTGTTTCTCAACCTGGGAGTCAGGACTCCTGGGGGGGGGGCGGGGGCGGGGTCATGAGGGAGTGTCAGAGGGGTCACCAAAGACCATTAGAAAACACAGTATTTTCTGTTGGTCATGGGGGTTCTGTGTGGAAAGTTTGGTCCAACTCTATCGTTGGTGGGGTTGAGAATGCTCTTTGATTGTAGGTGTACTATAAATCCCAGCAACTACAACTCCCAAATGTCAAGATCTATTTTTCCCCAACTCCACAATTGGGTATATTGAGTATTCATGCCAAGTTTGGTCCGGATCCATCATTGTTTGAGCCCACAGTGCTCTCTGAATGTAGGTGAACTACAACTCCAAAACTCAAGGTCACCAAACACTTCCAGTATTTTCTGTTAGTCTTGGGAGTTCTGTGTGTCATGTTTGTTTCAATTTCATCATTGGTGGAATTCAGAATGCACTTTGATTGTAGGTTAACTATAAATCCCAGCAACTACAACTCCTAAATGGTAAAATCAATCCGCCCCACATCAAATGTTGGCGTATTAGATATTTGTGCCAAATTTGGTCCAGTGTATGAAAATACATCCTGAAAATCAGATGTTTACATTATCATTCATAACAGTAGCAAAATTACAGTTATGAAGTAGCAATGAAAATAATTTTATGGTTGGGGGGTCACATGAGGAACTGTTTTAAGGGGTCACAGCATTAGGAAGGTTGAGAACCACTGTCTTAGATACAAACTCTCAGGTAGAGCATTCCCACAATCCCCGTCAATTTCTCTCTGAATACTATCCTCAATATTCTGACTTCAACAAGACACACAGAGTCCGATAACCAAGGAACAATTAGTCAGGGAAGGCTGAGATTTTGAGTGGACAGGTTTTGGAAGATGGGATAGGAAGGCGGAATTGCTCGATATTTATCTCAGTTGTGCCTCAACACGTCTGCTAGAGCAAGGTTATTGATTTATTACCATCCATAGATAAGAGCAGGTGGAAGACCAAAGAAAGGAAAGAAGACAAGAAGGAAGAAACTGAACTGAACACAGCATTAGCAACAATAAAACCAATAGTCAAGGAACCTTGGCTAATTTGATCTAATCTTTTGGTATGGAACAACTTGGTTAACAGGAAGATTAGAAAACAAATTAGCAATGGTGCATAGTTCCAGACAAGAGGCCTCTTATCATTAAACACACTGCAAAGCTTTACAGTCAGCCCTTCTCATCAGAAGGTTTAACTTTTGCTGATTGTATTATTCAAGGATTTTATTAATATGTTTTCTCTAGGAATCTTTAGGACCTCCCGCATGACTCTATGCTGAACTCTCACCTAGAGAATCGTTCTCTAGGAATCTTTAGGTTCTCCAATGTGACTCTATCATCAACTTCTATTAAAGTTGAACATAGTATTGCACTGGAAAATGTAGAAGTCCCCAGAGAAGTGTTTTTTCAGATTAAAAAATAGCATTTCTTTATTAATATTTTTTCCACTTTGAAAAGCCAGGTTTAAAAGGACAGGAGGAATCAGGAGATCTTCCAACTGCCCTCCCTACAGATTCCAACTCCCATTGCTCTGGCCTCTTTGGAAGAGAAGGGCTGTGAGGCACATCTCCATTGTGCCTTTGTCCCTTTCATATTTCAACTGCCATTGCTCTGGCACCTGAAAGAGTCTAGCATCTGGGTTGTAGGTTTTTTAGGGCTGTATGGCCATGTTCTATTATTTACATTTATTTACAACATTTCTACCCCGTCCTTCACAACCCCTGAGGGGGGACTCAGAGTGGCTAACACTGGCAACAATTCAATGCTGAAATATCACAATATAAACAACAATATAAAACTATAAATACACAATAGATTAAAAACAGTAGCATTACTTATACAATCATATGTTCTAGAAGCATTCTCTCCTGACGTTTCGCCTGCATCTATGACAGGCATCCTCAGAGCTTGTGAGGTTGGGAGGCAACCTCTGAGGATGTCTTCCATAGATGCAGGAAACATCAGGAGATAATGCTTCTAGTACATGGCCATACAGCCCAAAAACCCTACAACAACCCAGTGATTCTGGTCATGAAAGCTTTCAACAATAGTCTAGCATCTGCTGGACTTAATCCTCTCCCCAGCTACCATTCCTTTCCTCTTTGTGTCTTGATTTATTTCACCTCAGAGAAAGGAACTGTCAAATACTATGAATAAAGATATAAGATGAGGTTGTTTGGACGACCTGTAAATGTTCACGAAAGAGGCAATTTACCTGTACTCTATCCCACCACTAGAGTTTATTTCAGCAAGATATTAGTGACCTTGA